GCTTCTCCAGACCACCTTTATGAACCATCTCTTCAGGAATCCCTTCAGAGCACGCCCCTTAGGACAGCCTTTGACTTGATGTGCATTACCATGTAGTGCAGCTTTATCCGTCGATGAGTCTACCTGAAATGTCATTAAATGGAGCTGAAACTGGGTTTTCTTTTTCAGCAGCTGTTTGTGAAGTAATTACCAAGGGCTTGGCCCATGGTAAATTTGGGACTAAGCCACCATGATTTTTTTTTTCCCCTCTCTTTTTTTTGGTACTCTTTAATGACCTAGAAAGTAGAATCCTTGCCGCTAAGCAGTTCCTTGTAGATTTTAAGCATGAAATAGTATTGATTCTAAGTATGTAATTTTATTAGGCAAACGTGGAAGTAGCAAGCTGATTGCCTCTTAAATATAGCAAAAAAAAAATCCTGTTGCACATTCACCAGTCTGATGGAGGAGAGTGAAACCAGCAGCAGCCAGTTGCTCAGAGCACGGCGACACGTGTGGCCTGCTGGCCTAGGGGCCGGGCAAGAGGAGCTTCTGCCTTGGAGGCTCCGAGTGGGACCAGGCCTGGGATCACCCGGAGCACCCTGGAGAGGCTCAGCCCCCACCTCGGGGGTCACAGCCTCTGGCCACCCACCACACCCAGGACCTTGCAGGGGGGTCAGGTCAGCTCCAAACCCCCCCACAAACTGAGTTTTGCAGCAAGACACAAGCTGGGCCCAGAGATCCCCCCAGGCTTCCAGAGCAGCAGATGTTCGTGTGGTGGGATAACGCATAAGCAGTTCCATGAATGCTGCATGTGTGCATGGGGGCAATGACTCATCAGCAATAGGGACTTTATTTTCCAGGAAAGCCTTATTTGAGATGTAAGTAGACAATTATTTTGTAGGGGCAGTAGGAATATATTTTATGTACGTGAATAGAAAGACTTACCTCAAAAATATCAAGAGAAAGGCAGTTGGATAAGGAATACTCTTGTTAGAGACCTACCTTGACACCCAGCACAAGCAGTGTCAGCTGCTGGCCCGACCAACATCTGTGTGTTGCTGTAGAGCTTGTGATGAGACTCCAGAGAGCAGATGTGCTCAGTTTTGAGGTTTTTTTTTTCAAAGCTGGATTTTCAAACCAAATGCAACAAGTGCATAGAGCTTAACAGGAAAAAAAAATCAACAAAAAAGCCAACAAAAAAAGTACCTTCTTGTATATTAGCATTAGCTTAGGAAACAGGCACCAAAATGGCAATACTTTTTTAAGGCAAGACAGATTTGTAATATATTTGTTCACTGTGCAAAGGTGTTCTACCTTGTACAAAATAAATCCAATTTCTCTCAATGCTTATTTCTCAAACGTACTCATTTACAGACTCAAGCTTCCAGCCTGTGTTCAGGTCCAAGTTCTCCAGGTGATGGAGCTGGTCACAACGGGGCTGATCCCCTCAACAAAAAAACCACCAGCATCAGGTTTACAAGACAAGTTGCAGGATTTCTCAAAAAAACAATGCTGTAATCCAGACCGTAATCTGGAGAAGGGCCCAGCTTTAAAACAAACTTCAGCTGGTTCTGTACGTGTTTTTCTTACCACTCCTCAGCCACTGAGGCTCAGAGAGCTGAGCAGGAGCCCCCAGTGATGCACAAACCCAGCTGGATGAGCTCCTGCACACCTACACAGAGACATCTGGGGCGAGTGCCAACACACCAGGTCTCTGGTTTTCATGGGAAGTGTTCCAGTGCCAAGAAGCAGGTCCCAGCTGTGCCTTCAGGTGGGCACTGGAGGCTACAGGCCAGCAGTGACCCTGCTGCACCCAGCAGGGATGAGGGCAGGCACAGGGCAGCTGCTGTGGCAGGTCTGACAGAGCTCCCGGGGAGCCCAGTCGATAAATCACAGGCACAGATCTGCAGCAGAACCACCTTCAGAATTAATGACTCCCAGGCAACAGAGCAGACTGCCACATGTCAGAGCTTTTTCAATATTTGTGCTGCATATTTCCAAAAATCTTGTTAACTAAAGCCAAGCATGTAATCTTCTTACTTGACAAGCCACACTCAATAAGCTATTTAAGGCTGGAAATTCATCAGGTTTGAACTGACAGAATAAGTAATTTTAGCTTAATAAAAACATCTTTAAATCAGAACAATTCCATGTCCTTTCTGCTTAGGAGTCAGAACCTCAGCTCCCAAACAACCCAAGAACCACTGATGCTCACTGAACGGCTTCCTAATTGTTCAGGTTGGGACTTTCAAATATGCAAAACCTTTTGGCAAGTAAAGCTGACTTTTGCAGCGTGACACCAAGTTCCCAGAAACTCAGGAAGCTCATTTCAGGGCCCAAGGCAGTATCTGTTATAGTCAGTTCTCTCCTATTAGCAGAGAAGAGAGACTTCAAGTACAGAAGTTGTGCCAGTTAGGGAAGAGAATGATTAATCAGACACCGTTGGGACAGTGCTCACATGGAATAACACCTTGGATGGTTTCTCTCCTGAAGCACTTTGGGAAGAACCTTCTGGTCCCAGGATGGATCTGCTGCCGCAGCACTGCGGTGCTCAGTCAGGAAAAAGCAGCCCAAAACCACAGAGCACAAGGCACAGGCTTTAACAGGGAAGCAGTTACACCTCTGGACATTGTACGTGTGATTTTGCTGGAGAAGACAACAGCTGATGAAGCCTTTACAAACCATTGCACGAAAATTTTACGTCACACGTTGCAACACTTCCTAAGTACAAACCCCAATTTCACACAGGACTTCTAAGGCCTGCTTGATGACTATGAACTCTAAAGTCCTGGTGAGGCAAAAATTGAGTTCTTTGTCTAGCAGTACTGCAGCCATGTGGCTGGCTGGGGGGTGAAGGCAGCAGCACACACACACACACAAGCAAGGTGCACTGCCTGCTTACATGGGTCAGAAAGGAAGCAAAGTGAAACTCATCCAGCTGACACATATAGAACTTGGCTGAGGTGGGGAGTTTGGCCAGAGAAAGTGCTGCCAGAAGAGCTCCCACAGTCAGCGAGGGCCCATCCTCATCAACCCTCATCCTCAGACTCTTCTGCAATACTAATAGGTCCTAAATTTAAATTAAATTGCCTTTGTCCCCCAAGCCTCCAGCACTGACCCACACGCTCTGGGTGACTGCTGGGGACACTGCACACCACTCCCCAGCTCCTGCACACCTCTCCTTCAGCAGAGGCAGCACCAAAAAGCCTCAATCACTGGCTGTGGAAGGCAGCAGTCTGCCATGCCACATGATATTCTTACTGGTGACAATGTGGGAAAAAACCCAAACAAGTTTGTAAAAGCTATTCAGAGGTTAGACCAGAGTGAACCCACAGGCCTCTCAGAGTGTGAAAGCTGCCAAACTGTCACGCCTCTCAACTGCAGCAGCCCCAGAAACCTACAGGCCTGGTCTGCATGAAGGAGGCAACTGTGTTACACAACCATTTCTGTTCCTTTCCAGGGTGTACTTCCCACTTCAGCCTCTTCTCACAGCCTGTTCCAAGTTAACTACCTTCCAGTAAGTAAAAACCTTCAGGTCAAACCCCAGTTCTCCCAAAAAGTGCACCCAACACCGTTCTGAGTCGTCCCCTGTAATTCTTTATTAGAATCATGGATGAATATATTTTAAATCAATCTAAAAAAATAATGAATTAAAGTACAGTACATGCATAAAATACAAAGTAATTTACAGACAGATCAAAATAGCATCTTCAGAACTAATATTAGGAGGAGAAACAGATTTAAAAAACCCAAACAAACAAAAAAACACAACCCAAAACCAAGTGACTGACTACAGCAATGCCTTCCGTGTGCCTCACACATCATGAGCACCGCAAGACAAAGGTTGGGTACAAAACGCAGCTGGTGGTGCTGACCGAGAGCTGGGTGTTCTGAGTGGGTCATATCAGAGTTTGAGAAACGTCCCCTACAATTAACTGCCCTGCAACTGTATAAACAACTGCAGGCATTTATCCAGCAAATGGTTGAACACTGCAGAAGTTCAGTGCCTACAGCCCTCAAACCTCGACCTTAGCGCCGTGAGAGGGAGCGAGTGCAGCGACAGAAGGCACAGTTCATGGATCCCTGAAGGAGCTATCGAGCAGATGTGTCCTGAGCACAGGCCACAGAACACACCAGTGTGAAAACTACTCCAGATGTTTCTGCTAAAGAACATCTACCCAACCACTGGAATCATTTCAAAATACCGGATGAAGCAAAACTGAACAGTAAGGCCAGGTTGTGGAAGTTATCGATTCATCAACTCAGGCATTTGAATATATTAATATGGCATGTGTTAATAAACATGTAAAACGTGACAACACCCTTCAAGTGTGTGCGCCATGAAAATAAAAAAGGCATCCTCAAATCCTGATACCACCTGCACTGTGGAGGCCAAGCCCCGGGCAGCACAAAACCATGCTGCAGGTTCAGCCTTCACACAGCTCGTGCTTTTGCCTTCTTCACCAGAGGCACCTCAAGTGGAGTCCCAGCACCTCTGCCTCACATCACAACCCCCTCTGCAGCAGGTGCCAAACCACAACAGCTCACTCGCAGGTAGTGAGAACCCTGCTGCTTGTTCATAAGAATTTCTCTTTTCTCCCCCATAAAAAAAATCCTTGACAATCTGAAGATTTAGCCAAAAACATTTAACTTACATCAAAATTGCACTTCAGAGCGACAGGCATTTCATCAAGCTTTAGATGCAGTATAAACACCTTCAGACAAGGAAAGATTATCCTGCCCAGAGATATTTTCCTTGTTAATCTGACAGTAATTGTTTTGTGAGGAGCAGAATAACGTCTTCAAGTGCTCACTGAAGGTGTCTGAGCTCTGACTAGCGGGCATCATGTTGGAAAGAGAGCCCATCAGTTCCAAATTTACTGAACCAGCACCGACGAGGTGGCGTGGGGGAAAACACTGCAGCCACATAGAAGCAACAGATTTATAAACACTGAAATCAAAGTGTTTAAGACATGGAGAAATTCAGAAAGAATAGGCAGTAACTAAACATGAGAAAGTAACCACAAGAATTACAAATATATTTAAATCTTGGACCTGGGGAATATACACAGCCTTTTAGGAAAGAAGGAGCAATTCTATATATTCTGACAGCACTGCATCTTTGGTTTGCTCTCAGTGGTTGGAGGGACGTGAATGGGGACCACGTTGTTGCTGGGAGACATGTCGTTCTCGCGCCTGTCGGACATCTGCTTCTGGGAAACAATGCGATAGATCTCTGGAAGAGGAGAGAAGAGCCAGTCACTGCGTGTGCCCTGGCACACCACCAGCAGCAACTCACGTGTGGGGGAAAATGGGTGTGAAAGATTGGAAGCTTTCCCATCGTTCTGAAACTCCACAGGGAACGCACACAAGCTCTCACAAGAATTTCAGCTGTGATGTTTTCTATATGCAGAAAATAAACTGATTTCTTTTGCAAAAATACCTAACAACTGGTTTACTTCCCTTGAGAGAAGACTTACCTAAAAGAATTCACAACTTTTTTTTTGCTAGAAAATAATAAACCATGTGCCCCACCAATTCCTTCTGCTGGTTCTAACGTCCCTGAAGACAGTGGTCATGTTTGCCAATTTATCTGCAGAAAACAGTGGGATTAAAGAGAACCCCTCCAAACGTCTCTCTCCAGTAGAGCAATTTCTTCTCTCTCAGCATGCCCATCATGTACAAGACCCTGCCTATTGTCCACTCAGTTTTAAATCTTCAGAACAGGTTGATCTGGGCCCGAAAGGGGAGACTCAGCCCTTCAGCAGCACCTAAACTCTTCAGAAAGCTCACCGTGTTAGTGGAGTTAAACTTCAAAACTATGGAGAAGAAATACGGACTCCAGAAAAGAAATCCCAGCATAAACTGGAGAGCATGGGTTAAACTCCTGAGCCTGCCTCAGCACACTGCACACCTGCACCAACAGCCTTGCACCCTTCCCTGGGATTTGTCAGTGGCTGACAGCATGGGCTGCACAAACCCAGAGTGGCTACAAAAGCACTTACTTCAGCTGCACAGGAGAAATTGAGTACAGCATGTGTAGCACTTCACCCCCAGAAAGGAAATAAAGGACACCAAAAATAGAACGTGGGGAACTTGCTTGCAAATTTGAGCTTTAAAACCATTAAAAGCTTAAAAAGCCCTGAGTGTTAGCAAGCTTTTTTTAACAAAAAAAAGTTTGAAAGTGTTTCAGATTCAGCAAAGCTCCAGCCCTGAAATGACAACACCTCTTTGACTTCACACAGGCCATGAACACACCAGTACTGCTGAGCAGCAGAGCCCCCAAGAGAAGGGAGCTGATGCCCAGGCCCCATCTGCATGCTCCAGCTCACTGCCCTACCACAGGGTTTCAAGATGAGGTGTCCACACTTCACTCCTGCAGAGCAAAGACAGGAAGAGCAAAAGCAAAGCAAAAGCAAAGGTCTTCAAAGAGTTCTTCTGGAGGTTTGAAGTGTCTTATCAGCTGGGTCATGACTGTTCAAACACACAACTCGCCTGACCCCAAATCAAAGCACATCTTTTCCGTCACAGATTTGTCATTAGTGAGCAGCCTTTGTTCAGGGTTTTAATGAGCTGCTGCTTAGGGCACATCCTGACATCCTTTCAGTGCTGGACACTGAGCAAGCCTGTGCAGAGAGGCCCCTGTGCCACCCAGGGCTGGTCACTCAGCTGGGCGCCCGCTCCTGCGACGACGGGAAGAGACGGCACCGAGGAGCTACGAAGGGCCCCTGGTGAGGCTTGAAAACCTTGCCCTTGATGCAACCAGCCTGCACTGGTTTAAGATGCCAACACTGAGGGCAAGTGCTCCCCAGGCAGAGTAAGAGCAGGGCTACACACACCCCTGGGGCTGCTGGCAACAAAAATATCTCAGGTAGACACTGTGCTGTATGTAGAGCTGGACTAGTAACATTAACCTCTGCAAGTGGTGCTCTGAAAGAATCTGCCTGTCAGGCCTCTAAACTGACAACTCTGACTCAGACAGGGATAAACTGTTCAGAAAAAATGGATTTTAGGTACACTTCAGTTCCAGACAAGTCACTGAGGCAAACAAACCACATCTGTGCACGCTACAGGGTTTACTGATTTCACCCCTCATGGAGTTCACTTTTCTTCCCAACAGTCTTACACATAAATGACTTCACAAGTTAAGTGAATCCTGTGAAATCAAATCTTGAAATCCACCTGCAAGCCCATGTGGGAATCTGCAGATAAAGATCACTTTGCCCCGTGGCCTGCAGAGGTGGGAGGAGCAGGGCTGAGGAGACCTGCTCTGCATTCCTCAGGATGAGTTTCCTGCTCCACTACCCTGCCCCAGCCCAGGGTAGACAGCCAGTTTACCTCCAAGGGCAGAACACTGCCTGTTCCTACTCAACAGGAGACAGACTTTGCCACCTTCCTTATGGAAACTCTCTAGTAGCACCTTCAGCAGCACCCATTCTGTGTTCCACAGAACCTCCCAAGCAAGTTCATACTTGTCCCTATCACAAGCTGTCACACACGTCCTCCAAGGCCTGGTGTAAGCAAGGACTCACAACAGGGTGCCCGCTGTGTAACACCCTCATCTTACAGGAAAGATCTTCAGTAAACAGCCCTGAAGCCTTCAAAACCATCTTAACAGCATTGTTTTCTCTGCTGATAACAGGTCTGTCCCTCCTGACTCTGGGAACACGTTTCCAGGATCCCCACTCCCCAGCAGCCCTGCAAGGACACTTGGCAGCTGTGCTGCCTGAATCAGCTCCCAGCAGCCCCAGGTTTGTCACTCACTGCTGCTTCTCCCTCCTCTGCAATGCAAATCTGCACACAGCCACAGAGTACAGCCCAAGATGAAACCCTAAAAGCCCAAAAATGGCCTTTCCCTGGGTCAGCTACACACTCTTCCACCACACACAGAGGTGCTGGTCTGAAAGGGGAGGTGGGGAGAGCTTCAACCTGCTCTCGCTGGGGCAAAACACCCAGCAGCAAAGCCTGCACTGAAACTGGCCTGTGTGGAGGAACACCAGGCTAATGAAGACATGTGCTTTTTAATGAAGACACTACACTTTATGCATTGCTCAGTAACTGAATGAGACCTTATTAAGAGCACATTCAGCAGAATGCATCACTGCATAATTGGTAACTGTGTGAGACAGGCTGTGCACTGTGAGAGAACTGGGAAGAAGGCACACTGCTGCCAAGGGGAGCTTGTCCCATCCTTGTCTGCTCAGCCTGCACTAACATTTCATACATTTTCAGGTGTACAGAGCTAACAAAAGAGGAAATCCCTAGATTTTTTTATGTTAATGCTCTATGCTGTTGTTTCCTTGGAGATGGGATTCCTTTGAGATGAAGCCACAGCAGAATGCAGCACGGGAACAGAGACAGCACAGAGCCAGACTCCAGTTTACTTTAAAGATGCTTTATCCTGCTGTGAATGCTCCGAGTGGCCAGGATTGTAATACCAGTCTCTCCTATTTGCCAGATGACACAAAGCAGCTTTGTGTGCACAACAATCAGCCCTTGAAGTCCAGACATCTTGCAACAGAAGAATTTGGATAGGGACTGTTCCTCTAAGCCAGAGAAGCAAAAGGTGCCCAAACTCTCATCTGAAATTTACAGCAGTACAGGAAGCCCACTAGATGCAACACACAGCCCCCTCTAAAAGTCCTCTGTAATGCAAGGAGAGGAAAGGAGCACTTTCTCCCCCTTCTTCCACCTGTAACAGCAGCAGATCCCATACTTGGGCTGTGCTAACTCTGGTGGATTCCTATTTCCCGTGCCCAAAGCCATCTATTCAAAGTGGCTTGATCTGAGAGTCTAGGTGTGGACCAGCGTAACACAGGCACTGCTACACCTCCAAGGGAAGCACTCCTACAAGTCTCCATCGCTGGCCCAAGCAGGGCAGCTTCAGAAGGGCTGGAGAAGGACAGAACTGTGCTACAGCCCCTAGTGGAGACTCCCTGCTCAGGGGAATCTCGGCAGTGGAGCCAGGAGCCGCCGGGGCCACCTCTGCGGTGCCTTCCCAGCACTGAATACCAGCAGAGCTGGTGTGGCTGCATGCCTGCCCCTTCTGGCAGCCACCTCCGCTGGCAGCCCGTGGCAAAGCCTGCTGGCTTCACCGAGTTCCTCCTTCAAAGGACAGCAGCACTCCCCCCGCAGGCACGGCGCTTGGAGGCAGCCTCAAACACCGAGTTCTGCAGGGTCACTCTGGAAAACGCATTCCTCAGATGACTGCTCCCCTCTTTCCTTCAAAGCAAATCATTAACAGAGAAAGCCAGCTGTGAAGTGTTATCGAGAAGTTTATTGGCAGAACATTCGTCCTTAGCATGCCAGTCACAGCCAAGATGGAGCCAACCTGCTGCTAATGCATTATTTACTTCATCTTTATCTCTCTGAAACAGGAGCTCCTGTCTGGAGTGAGCCACATGCCCACTAATCAGCAGAAGTGTTTCTTCCAGCACAGTTGAACCAACCCCTCCTGAACAAGGATCCTGTCCGCATACCCAAGAGCTCTTTACCCAAAATACTGTCACAGCAACACGCAGGGAACGTTGACGTTTGTGGAAAAGCAACAGCTTCAACACCCTGTCCAAGTCCACCCAGGGCAAGTTCTAATTGTGCTCCCGTTACAGACTGCTCTCCCTTGCAGAAAAAATAAACCAGGAAAAAAATATCGAACCTCTGCAAATTAGAACCCAAAATAACTTCTGGAATAAAAAGGTACTGTTGGAAGCATGCGAGGAGAGATAAAGACAGAGCCCAGGCTGTGCCCAGGAGGTGAACTGCTTCCCCATGGCAACTGCAGCGTGTTGTCACAGCCTCACAGCTCTGGGGAAGTAAGGCAGCAGCTCAGGGCACGCAGGAAACTTTCCATCTCCTCAGCCCTCACTGTCAGAGGACAGAACAGTCCAACAGGAGATGGGGCAATTAGGTGATCAGCTTATGTTGGCTGTGACAACCTCACAGCCACCTTGGGAGGGGTAAACAGTGTCTTATATATGTCTGGCTCTGTTTTATCAGCATTGGTGCTGAATGAGTATGGAAGTTAATAAACTAACCCTCGTACAAAAGCCCTGATCCCCTCTGAAAACTGCCACAGCAAGCAACAAGGCTGTTTGGTTTACATTACACCCGATGTATTTGGCCAGAATCTAACCTCAAAGTTCAGTATAGGTGCTCCTGAGAGGGACTACTGAGGACACAGGCATATAGGAAGAAGTTCCAGGTTTTAGCAGTTACAAGTGAGCAACAAAAATGTATTTCTCCTGAAAAATCCCTCCCCAAATTAATTTGACAGGACTGCCTTTAGGTAGGTGAAGAAAACAGGAAATCCAGCAGGCATTCCAGATACCATCACATTCAGCCACTCCTTAGCCACCCACCCTCTAATGACATTAGTAGTTAGTCATCTAGGGAGTAAATGTATAAGCTAATAGATGTTCTTTTTTTTTTTAAATTTGTGCAATGTTGAATTGCAAGCAAATAACTACACTGATGTTAAAAGGGAACCACACCGTTCAGCTGAAGAGGAAACAAGCTTAACTTCTAGTTCACTGTATTAAGCAGCAGGGTGACAAACATCCCCATGCACTGTTCATTCACAGACTCACACATGGACAGGAGCACTACTGCTTAGTAACCTACTGCAAAAAAAATCACAATAGAGCCAGAACCTATTGGAAGCCTCTTACAACTAAGGATAAGACAAGAAACAGATGGACACAGGCAGATAATGCTCCAGCAGCCCAGCAACTCCCTCCACTGCTAGGGTGTTCATAAAGCATTTCAAACAACTCCAGAAACACTACAGAATTTCTGCTTTTATTACAGTAAATAGTTCCCTAGCTGCCTCCTCACCTGCATGTTCCAGTATGGCTAACAAGTCCTTTTTGATGTTTTTAAATGAATGTCTAAATTAGCTGGCAAAGAGGAAAACATTCAGAACTACCTAGGTGCCAATGTCACAGTGATGAGATCTGATTAGCAGTGGCACAGTTCAGGAGTGGGGCTGCTGCTCACACCAAGCACACCACATAGCCTGGCACCTGCTACATTGGGAAGGAGAGAATTTAAATTTGCAACTGGGAAACATGGAGAGAGACACCAAAACAGAGGAGTCTCAGATGTTTTGAAGACCCAGACTAGAGATTTAGAGAGGCATTAGCTAAAGCTGGCAATGATGAAAGCTTAAAATCCACACATGCCACTATCTTCCCACTATGTCCCAGCTACAGCTGGTGGGGCACACAGCAATGCAAAAGTCCCATCAACAACTAGGAATTTCCATACCAATTTGTGAATTCCTACCCTGTCCTTTATAAGCCACAGTTAATTTGAGATCCCCCATGTACTTGTTAAGACTGAGATTTTCAGCTACAAGTTTTGCCAACCTAAAAAAAGGGGTTTAAAGGAAAAGGAAGTACTTTATTCACAGAGTACATAAAACAGAGCACTTGCTGCCATCACATGTCACAGAGGCCAAAAGTCCAGGCAGAACTATTAAATGCAACAAGAGTGACTCCCCTGCAGCTCAGGAGTCACTACGTCTCAGACTACCAGTGGAAGTATTGTTCAAAGGATCTCTTTCATCCCTCTTCCCTAGGCAACTGCTACAGTCACCATTAAAGATGGAAACAAACCAGATTTTTTATTGGAGGAGAAGTCAATGGGTGTTTTAATTCAATGCTTGCATGAGACAACTCTCTCCCATGGGCACTCCCTATGCCATACACAAAAGGGAAACTGAAACATAAACCTGGCTGACTAGATGGGGCAGATCAAAGCGAGCAAGGATTCACTCCTGAGTTCAAGGCTGGCCTTTCAACTGCAATACTTTGAAACTGGACTCCAAATCCTATGGCTGTGAAGAAAGACTAAATAGTAAAATGTAAGACACTTTATAGGCAAAGAAATGCCTATTTGCATGGTATCTGAGCAGCCTTCTGCCCTTCCCCCTCGAAACACAAAGCACCAGATGACTCACCTGTCAGAATAGTCTGGAAAGCTGCTTCCACATTTGTAGAGTCTAAAGCAGACGTCTCAATAAATGACAAACCATTCTTCTCTGTGAGGACAGAAATACTATAATTACAAGAGTATATCACATATCTGTTTCCCATTTGGAAGAACTTCTGTACCAGATTATATTTGTAGTGTTCCTGATGAGACACATGGGTATCAAGTATAAAAAGTAATGGGTTTTTCCTTCCTTATGTGACCTGAAAGCAACACCACCCAACAGCACTGTTAGAATTTACCCTCGTCCCCAAGCACTGGGGTCAGTCCAGTGCTGTGTTATTTTTAGGCACATCTTCCTGCATCCCTGAAAGTGAGAATACGTTGCATTTTCAAGAACTGTGCAAGGAAGCTTCCTGGATTTCTTCAACCTCATCAAGTTGTCTTTAGCCTCATCTGCCTTGACACAGGCAGATCCCCAGAGAGGCAGCATTAGGAAATTGTCCCAAGCTCACCAACCTGCAAAAGCTCTGGCCTCATCTGTAGGGACTGCTCTCAGGTGGCGCAGGTCACTCTTGTTCCCCACAAGCATGATGACGATGTTGCTGTCAGCGTGGTCCCTCAGCTCCTTCAGCCACCGCTCCACGTTCTCGTACGTGAGGTGCTTGGCGATGTCGTACACCAGCAACGCCCCCACGGCCCCACGGTAGTACCTGCCATGCAGAGGGGTGTCAGAGAGCCAGCTGGGAACACCACCACTAGAAGTGACAAGTTACTGGGCAATAATGGGAAGCAGCTATTGCTAAGACATCTGTACAAAAGAATACCCAGGAACAGGGACTGAGAACAGTGAAGCAGGCCATCTGGACTAGCACTATGCCGTGGGACCACCGGAGCAGCCAGGAGGGCTCAGAGTCCAAGGGATAAGTCAAAACCCATATTTGTGGGGAGAATCCTGCATCCCAAAAACACAGCTCTGGAGTCTGTGGGGTGCTACTGTCACCTTCAACCTCTGATCCACTCCCGAAAAGTCTCCCCCACCCATCCCTGTGGGTGCAGTGCGGGCACAGCCCAGAGTGATAGAGAGACTTGAGAATGACTCACTGGATCATAAAAACGTCAGCCTGATCTATTCCCTTTACAAAAGGCCACAGCTGGTCTCCTTTCAGACCAGAGAGGCACAATAAGGCATTCAACAAGAAAACAGGCTGTGTTCTCCCATCCCACAATTACCTTTACTTAAATTCAGCTTTTGGTCTGCTGGGTTTTTTTCCAAATGAAATCAGCACACCAAGTGAGCAGTCTCTGCTTGCTGCAGCAGGAGGCTTTCTGGTCTTAGGTTACCACTGATAAAACCTCCAGGAACACTGATATTACTTTATCAATCACTTGTGTTGAAATGAGTCTCTCAAAGCTCTTGCATTCTAGGCATTCCAGTTATGTACCATGAGAGCACTGAGACGTAAATCAGCCTGTGCAGGGACACACACTATATCACATTCCTGGCCTGAATAATATTTAAGCTTCCTTTCACCACAGGTTGTGGATTTTACAGGGTAAAACACAAGCCCCCACCGTTGGCAGTTTCTGAGGAACTGGAAGGGCCCAGAATGACCCCTCTGAGCACAAGCTCCTCTGCAGGCAGCAGAGCTGTGACTTACGCTGACGTTATGGCTCGGTACCGCTCCGGCCCTGCCGTGTCCCATATCTGAGCCTTTATTGTCTTCCCATCCACCTGGATGCTTCTTGTGGCAAACTCTACTCCAATGGTGCTTTTGCTTTCCAAGTTAAACTCATTGCGAGTGAATCGAGACAGGAGGTTACTCTTCCCTACTCCAGAGTCTCCAATCAGCACAACTACAAGACAAAAATGACATGAGAATCAGATTCCCCATGTAGATAACACACTGACAGTCACCTGCAATAAACATTTATTTCTGGGAATGAAGCATGAAGAAAAAAAATGGCAAAATCACCACCTTTGTCACATGTCTACTGTCCACATCTTGATATTTCTAGAGAACCAGAGGCCCATCCACCAGCACTGTGAACAGATTTTAGACTTGACTTTTACTTGTTACATTTCAGCTTCAAAAAGAACCAAACCTGCAAACCCACAAGACCACCATCACCCTGATGGACAGTTTAAAATGTCAGCTGAGCCACATGCTGTGGCTGCCCTTCCACAGGCCCTCAGTGCTGCTGTAATTCCTGATCACTTTTGGGACCACTTCTGGCCACACTGCTCTAAAACACTGGTGGGGTATCGCTGGGCCTCATGATTAGAGCCACCACCCACATCCCCTTTCTCAGCTCAGCTTGGCTCATCACAGCACCAGTGCCAAGCCAACTGACTGGAAGGATCCAGCTATGCTTGACAAGAGAATGACAGAAGGCTTAAAGTCCAGCTCCTACAGGAAGAAAAGCATCATGAGAACCCACCGCAATATGCTGTAATGCTGAGTTGAAAGGTTCAAGTTGAAATGTAACTTAAAACTCGCTACCAAGATGGAGGCCACTGGATGGAACATTCACAATCCTGAGTCACACAACAGGAGCCTCTTGGGATGATCTTGTGCCCTTAATGAGGATAAGTTAAAGAACTGATAACAGAAGGAAATGAAAGAGGCCAAGTAAGATCCTCGAGAAGCAAGGCCGATAACTTTGAAGTTCAGCAGTGAATCAAGGCCAGTCCAAGCCAGTGTGCATGCTCAGATGACAAAAAACCCTGTTGTGGCTATGCTTGTTTTGAAAAAGAACACAACCACCACCAACATGCCGAGTAACATACGTCATTAAACAGTTAAGGCACTGCAACACAGTGGCAGGAGTGCACCCAACACTCCAGTCCCAGGAGGAAACCCCCCCAGAGTCTTACTCCAGCAGCACCAATACTCCCATCTGCTGTGCCACCTCTTCCACTCAAATAATGCAAAACAGCTCTGACAAATGGGATCTTCTCTGACTGCAAGGGCAGAGCAACACCTTTTAAACACCCTCCATAAAGTGAAAATGCCAGCTTCAGATGTGACCTCGTGGAGAATACTTCATCAAAATAAAGACCTTTCCAGCTTCCCCTGCCAGCTGACTCAGCACAGGGCCAGCCAGGCTGCAGAAAGCACAGTGTGCTCTGTTACCCACTTCTGCTGATGAAGATCACAAGTGCAGGTAAGCACGTGTGCTGGGTGCAAAGTGGATTCTGCTTCCCTGGGGGGTGGGTCTGCACTGCTCAGGGCAGGCTGCCCTGACACAGCTGAGCAGCTCTGCTGGCACCAAGATGCTAAACCATAACAATGGGGCAAGGGACAGGGGACCTAACTGCATCCCCCCCACCTGCCAAACTGCCACAGCTTTCCTCTTTCAGAGGCAACTAAGTTCTTCAGTACTATTTTGGCAGCTTGAGGCCACAGTTTTAGATGACCTCATATCTGTATTCACTGGAATGTGTTATGAACAAGAAGTTCCTAGGAGGCAAAAAGCTGTCAAGTCCCTTTGCACACCTCAGTCCTGCTAACCCAGTGTTAGCTTCAGCAGCAGCTAAAATCTCCTCTACACAACAGGAGCAATCTACATCATTCCCTATTCCCAACAGGATGCCTCATATACCTGTTAAGTATTCCCCTCAGATGTATTTTTGTTGTTCAGAGCATATTTCAAAGCACAGCTTTAAGTCATTTAACAGTAGATGGATCATTTTAATTCCTCTGCCAGGTTTTTTCCTTACCCTGTCTGAATCCCATGCTGCTTATGTTATGAATGGTTTCCAGCACCAGATTAACATGTCCCAATTAAGTGGAAAATATTACACTTTCCTCCTTGAAGTCAGCTATTCCCTCTACTTAATTGGGCCACTGCAGCTCCTCCTGAACACAGACACAAGATCAGCAGGCACCTACAACTCCTCACACTTTCTGCATTTTTGCCAGTCTGAGCAAGTTATCACTCTTTGAATACAAACTGAAACAGCTTTAACAGCCACTCATATTGTTCATTTTATTTTCCTTATTAAACCACCTCATTTTGGTACTTTATACTACACTGTGCTCCCATGTGTTACAGAAATACAGTAGGAATGACCCTGGATGGCTGAGTCCTACTCCAGTTCTCCCAGGCAAACAGTTTCTGGAAGGGAAATGACGTTCTCTAGCTCCATGTTAAAGCTAATTGTTCCTGAACACACACTTATTGGGCTTTTCTTCCAGAAACTCACTCCTAATAGAAGAAATGAGCAGTCAGCTGATGGTGGTGTTCATGTGCCAGCACTGTCCATTAGCTTCTTAGTTTCTTCTCCCAGTGGTGTTTACACTGGGGTGTTTACAGAAAGCAACCACATCTTCTCTCTGCTCTGTTCTACTCGCTAAATAGGCCAGCTTCTCAAAATGTTTCCTTATAAACAGACTGTCCATTTCCACAGACACCCTCCCTACAAGTTTTTTGTCTTATTTTCCACACAGTGAGAACTGCACACATGGTTCTAAGCAAGATTTCCCCATGATGTATACAGGGGTTTTAATACTTTCACCTCTACAAGGCACAGCTGCAGCTGGAATTACCTTTTCCTGACCATATCACCTCAATGTTCAGTCTGCCTGTGATCAGATCCAATTGTTCTGGCTTTAAGTTGGCAAACTTATACTTTACCAAATTCCTCTGAGTCCACAGGCATAAACCCCTACATCCTGAACCCCACCTCACTGGAAGGACTGCAGTCCTCATCAGCACGCAGGACTGTGCTCTGACTTTCTCCTGTACCACCCAACTCTCAGCACTGGGAAATTCCTTTACTACATCAGCACTGAAAGGAGGAAGGTCCCGAGGAAACATTTAAACAAGTTCAACCACAAGACCTCTTCTTGAAAACCTTCAATAAACATCTTTGGACCAGCGATTCCCTTACAGGAGCAGCACCATAGAAAGCTTCACAATCAAGGGAGATTTGCATTTAGCACATCCTGAGAAGATGAAAGAAAAGTTACAACAGTGATTGTCCTGCCCCAGGTGACTACTTACTACTGGGCAGGTCTTTCTTACTCAGTAAGTGATGGGCCAGTTCAATACTTGCAACCCTGTCCCTTAAATCAATGCATTTGATCCCCTACAGCACTTAGCACCCCAAAGGTTTAAGACATTTGGTAGAGAGGGGGAAAAAAAAAAAAAGTATGAAGTCCACATTACAGGACAAATTTCATCCTGTAATACTAGTTTTATATCTGTAGAAGACCAAAGTAAGAATTCAATTTCCTAAGTTGCATGAAAAGCAATTTAGAAAACTATGTCAAGAAAGGATTAATTTTTCACCAATATTTCAGCCAATTCACCCCATTTTTACTTCTGTTAAACCTCTTAGTTGTACTTTTCAGAAAATACTTCAATTATCTCACTAAATATGTTATTGACAACCTAATCAGGTTGAAAATAGAAAGCCCAGCATCACCAGCTTGTACTGCCTGAGGTAAAATTTATTTCACAGGTCACACACCAGACAATTTAACACAAGTACCCCAGCACTATAACATCTAAACACACTCATCTGTGTGCCAACCTCTGCACATCAGTGAAGAGCCTGGACACATCTTCATGGCCCCCAAGAACCTGCTGATGAACACCTCTCTTCCTGCTCACTTCAGCTGGACTATTAAGGAAACATAGGACTTTACACCTTGTAGGCAGCACAACCATTTTTAAAATGTGTTTTGTAAAACTCAAACCAACAAGTTTGCTCAGCTTCAGAGCATTTCCACAATATCAAAGGGACCATCTGGAGAATGAACCTGGTACAAAGTAGGAAGCAGAGAGCTGAAACTGGAGTTTTTTGTAATGATAAGCTGAATGTCACAAGTAAGGTCCATGTTCAGAAATTATCAGGCTGACTCCAAATTCATTGTTTCAGATGGTCAAGGTGCAGACAATCCTTCCAAGCTTTGTCCATAGAAAGCACAGAACAAATCTTTTGCAGCTGAGGGTTACTTTCATAGCTACTCACCTACTGCAAGCACATTACTTTTACTCTTTTTGATTAAAGTTCCTGCATTTAAGCCAGGCTTCATTTATTAAGTAACAAAGTAATTTCCTTACAGCACCATTATATTTTCCTCTTATTAAAATTAAGGCATGTTTTCTACAAACATGACTTCATAGCCCTTGTGTTTCTTCAAATGTAGTGCTGGGAACAGCAGAATCACAGAACCACAGAGGGCTTTTCCAGACATAAAGATCAGCAAGGCCAACCATCAACCCAACTCTACCATGACCACTGAACCATGTCCCATAGTGCCATATCCAAATTTACCAGAAACTGTCTTTTTACAAGCCAGGTTTAGGCTTTAACACATGCTGAAGTGTTGCAACAGAGTCGGGAGAGGGGCATTTTGTAACAGGTACCGTGATTTTAGTGTAGAGCAGCATGGATGGGCTCAGCTTACACCCACCAGCAGACTCAGCCAGATTGTGACATCCACTTGCTGTCAGAGGCTGACAGGACAAAACCAGAGGTCTCACACAAACAGACACATGTCAGTCTAACTCAAGAGTAGCAAGAGACAGGCAAGCTAGAGAATATCACCCAATTATCTTACACCAAGTCAAACTCAGGACTTAGTCACCCTAACCTACCATGTCCCTTGAAGTTCATGAACCCAGAAGAACTGTGATACTGGATTAAGTGTCCCTATAGATCAACACCCAGCCTGACTATCAAGAACTGATGCCCAAGAAACATTCCCTGTAAGAGAACAAACAGGCTAATCTTTGTCCTAGCAAGCCCATGCACCTCCAAATGAGTAAAACCCTCAGACTTGCCACTGTAACCATCACCACTGAGACACCCCAACAGGCATTTTTCTTCCTCTATAGATCTG